AAACAGTCCGAAATGACCGTTGAAGTAGTAGTCAACCAGCACATGGACGTTGTGCTGTAGTAGAAATGATGTCTTGAAGTGAGGACTGGCGGCAATTTGCATTTTCCTTGAGCTCTCGAACTATCGATGTGGCCAGCGCCTCTTGCAGTCACCGTGACCCCAGCGAACCGACTTGTTAGCATCCAGGATGGTGAGGCGACCGAAAAGAGGAAACATGGTTGAGACCTCCTCGGAGGCCGAACATTGGCCTCTTAGGGCCCTCTCGGGCGCTCTTGTGGCCGTCCTGGAGTCCTCTTGGGGCTCTATGGCGCCGTCATGGAGCCATCCTGAGGCTTCAAGGCTCGTCGGAAAGTGACAAGGTGAGAGGGCCACACCCACACCTTTTTCGCAGTTTTCGGGACGGGTTGGGGGCCTCTTGGGGAGGTCATTTGGAGGCTTCTTTGGATGGAGGCTTCTTTGGAGGCTTGGTGGCCACTCGAGCCGTCCTGTGGCACTCCTGGGGCCTCTCGGAGGGACGCCGGCAGCTGTCATGAACCATCCTGGACTATCTTCAGCCATCTTGGCGGCCATCCCGGCGCAGCGAGAGCCATCTTGGTGGCCATCTGAGGCACTCCGAGGGCTCCCGGTCGAGACTTCCCCGCAACTCACCCGAAGTCTAGGCTCCCGCTCGAGACTTCCTCCCACCTCACTCTCAGACGAGGTTTCCGCTCAAGACTCTCCCAAGGTTCACGCAGGCGTCAGGAACCCAACAGTGATTACAGTTGCAGACATGGCGATGACCATCTCGGGTTAGTAAGATGAAGTGCGGGCCCCATCGGGAGGGGTTTCCGGCCTGTGACCTTCCCGCGATTCATTCACACACGAGGCTCCCGCTGGAGACTTCCTCCTGCGCCAGGCATCAGGAGTCCAAAAGTGACGACAGGTACAGGTATGCCGATCACCGCTTCAGAACAGTAAGATGAAGTGCGGGCCCCAAAGGGAGGGGGCTCCCGCCTGAGGCTTCCTCGGGATTCACTCATCGACGAGGCTCGCTGTCGAGACTTCCTCCTGGTTATAGTATCATGGGGCCCCACGTGACGACAGTTGCAGGTATGCCGGTGACCGCCTCGGATTAGCAATACGAAGTGCAGGCCCCATCGGGATGGGGTAGGCTACCGCCTGAGACTTCCTCGCGATTCACTCATCGACGAGTCTCCCGTAGAAGACTCGGTCGGTTTCGGGCATCAGCAGCCCTAAAGTGACGACAGTTCCAGATATACCGATGACCGCCTCGAGTTGGAAACATGAAGTGCGGGCCCCATCGGACGGCGGCTCCTGCCTGATACCTCCTCGCGATTCGCTCAGAGACGAGGCGAGGTGGTAGGATGAGTGTGTAGCTGTGCGAATGGTGTGGGTGTGGCAGTGTTGGAGTGACTGCGTGAGTGACTCTGTGAGTGTGAATGGGTGTGTGTGATGTGTATGTGCGGGTTTATGTTAATGAGTTATGATATTTGCGTTAATGTTGTTGCTAATGATGTGCGATGACGGTTGTGATGAAGATAGTGTTGATGTTGACGATGATGATGGTGTTCATGTTGATAGTTGATATTGTGATGTTATTGATGATGCGGATGTTGATGTTGATGATGATGATGATGGTGATGCTGATGATGATGATGATGATGATGGTGATGGTGGGATTGATGATTACGAATATGTTGATGATATTGATGGTGATGGTGATGACGGTGATTAGGTCGATGAGTGTGACGTGTATCATGATGTTGTTGATGATGATGTTGATGTTGATGATGATGATGATGATGATGATGATGATGATGATGATGATGATGATGATGATGATTATGCTGATTATGCTGATGTTGATGACGATGATAATGATGATGACGATGCGAGCCTGTGATTATGTGTGTGGAGGGGGTCTTGCGCGGGGTGTCCCGAGAAGACAAAAACACATAGGAATTGAGCAATAATACGATCATACGTTTACCTTTAGCTCCGCTGGTGTACAACCTAATAACCTACCGACGCACATGCTGATCTACAATTGATCTTGCAGACGCTGGCGAGTCATCATACATGTATGCTAAGCGCGTCATTGCAGAAGCACAGTCCATCCCGCGGTGGGGTCGGAGGATCCAAGATTCGGCGAATGGCTGCCCGATTTGAATTATCAGCGCGGCGAGTGTGTAGGGCTTATTCTGTCGTGAATAATCCCTTTGCGGCAGCAAGGGCGCGCTTCCGTACTCACACTCGCGCTCCAGACCCCCTGGCGTTTTTTCCCCACGCCGGCCATTTGCTGGTCTAGACCTTTCTCTGCGGAGCTGCTCCTCATTCGAGCAGTCGTGTTGACATCTCCAGGCTCCAGCAAGCGCCCGCGGGTGTAAGGTCCCGCCTGGCCCAGACCTTCCAGGGGCGCACGGCCACAACAACCCCCCTCCCCTCACGATCTGCTCGCGGCGCCAAAGGGGGTCTGGGGTGCTCACGCGCTCGCGCTCCTCGCGCACTCCCGGGCCGCCGCGCCGACTGCGACCTCCCAGGCGTGCGAAGCGAAAAGCGCCCACATCGTAAGGCGTGCCTGGCCTGCACGGCCTGCCTAGCGCGTTCTGCCGGTGCCGCTTTGCCTCGCCGCCGAGAAAGAGTTCCGTGCTTCCCTCCCTCCTCCCTCCTCCTTCCTCCCTCCTCCCTCCTCCCTCCTCCTCCTCCTCCTCCTCCTCCTCCTCCTCCTCCTCCTCCTCCTCCCCTCCCTCCTCCCTCCTCCTCCCTTCCTCCTCCTCCTCCTCCTCCCTCCTCCTCCTCCTCCTCCTCCTCCTCCTCCTCCTCCTCCTCCTCCTCCTCCTCCTCCTCCTCCTCCTCCTCCTCCTCCTCCTCCTCCTCCTCCTCCCTCCTCCCTCCTCCTCCTCCTCCTCCCTCCTCCCTCCTCCCTCCTCCTCCTCCTCCTCCTCCTCCTCCTCCTCCTCCTCCTCCTCCTCCTCCTCCTCTCTCCTCCTCCTCCTCCTCCTCCTCCTCCTCCTCTTCCTCCTCCTCCTCCTCCCTCCTCCCTCCTCCCTCCTCCCTCCCTCCTCCCTCCTCCTCCCCCTCCTCCCTCCTCCCTGGACGGGCGGCTCAAAAGCACTGCGGGGGGGGGGGGGGGGCGAGTGGCGTGCGGCCGCCCACCCCTGCCACCCAAGACCTGGAGGTTCAAGTCTGTTACCAGCGAAGGAAGGGACAAAGGACCACCAGCGAGGGGGGCCGGCCGCTCCCCGCCCACCGAATTGAGCTGGTGGCACCCCGTTCTGGGACGCGCCTCAAGGGAGTGCCCAGAGCAGAGTGCCCCCAGCTCGGGGAGGTTTGAGAACGGAGTTCTGTGGAGTTCTGGTGGTGGTGGCTCTTTTTGCTCTCGTGAGAATTGTGACGGGGAGAGTGGTGACGAACACCGGCTTCAGTTCCTGCCCATTTTGAACTAGACTCTGTGTGGGTGTCGCCGTGGACGTTACACAACCGAGACAGAGAAGGAGGCGTTTGCCCAACAGCGGCCGCTGATCGTTTCTGACAGCGTCCGTTGTTGGGCATGCGTGCCCATTTCGGGCGTCCAACTCGAAGGAGAGGAGACGGCACGGTCTGAGTGTGGATTGTCGGAGTTCCGCGCAGATCTCTCGGATCGGCGCTGGGCCGTCCTGGCGGTGCGCCTCGAGCGCCGCCCCTGTCGCGCTCCGTCGCCGAATCCAAGAGTCCGCGCGGACTTCGAAAGTGTGTATATGTAGCTGTTTGTGCCTCTGCTTCCTCCTCCCCGCCTCTTCCGCTTTCCTGCCCTGCGATCGATGTTGTTGGCTCCTGCATCCGCGCATCCGCTTAGAAGCCTTTGCTCGCAATCGCAGCCGCTTCGACAGGACTTCCGATCGCCCTTGCCTGCTGAAAGACGCCCCAGGACTAAAATCCACTTCCCTGGGGTGGAGTCGAGATGCTTGGAAGTGCACGTCTTGAAATACAAAACACGACGCTGTTTTGCGTCTGGGTAGGCAGGTGTCGGACGGGATGCCCCCCTTCGTCGTCTGCCTGTCGGAAGACGCCAGCTAGAATCCACCACCATTGACCTTGGCCAGACCGATCGCGCAATGGGATCCACCAATCTCGTGTCCTTGGCTTCGCCTGACCGTGTCCTGGAGGAGGGTTGCCTTGCAGATTTTTCACCGTGTTCGTGCCCAGGGGATTATCAGATTCTCCCCAGCCCCAGGGCGATGGATGAAAAACAATTCAGGATGCTGGTCCCGAAAACGCCACGATGACCAAGATCCGTCTCAGCCATGAGCTCGTTCGCCCATGCAAAGGTCATAGTACTTGGATAGCCGGCGTCTTCCCATTCTCCGCCCATGCGTGTCCTCCGCGTATCTGAACGTTGGATGTTCATTTCCAACATTGACGAGGTCCTGAGCATTTCTCAGATCAGACAGACGGGCCCAGAAGGGCGCGGGTCTCGCTCCCCGCCGCTCTAAGAGGCGTTGCTCGCAGCCCATCAATGGAATAGCCTCATGCGCAGGCCGTCACCCGCAGTGGCGCGAAGAGAGTCGCGGTTGCGCGCGAGCGCGCGGGGACAATACTCCCCAGAGGCCTCCGGAAGTCTTCGGACGCAGACATGCAAAAAGTGCACGCACCTACGAACATACACGCACACCAAATTGTGTATTGGATCTAAATATACATACATACATACATACATACAGACAGACAGACAGACAGACAGACAGACAGACAACACTACATACATCCATACATACATGCATACATACATGCATTCATACATGCATACATACACACACTCACATAGATACACACACATCGATGTATATGTATATTTGCATACGCGCCTGTATATACAAGATTTGAGGGGTCACTTCGCTTCGCCTTAATCTTGGTCCTCGCTGCGCCCACACATTCCCAACCGCTCAGTGAATGGGTGCGTGGTGAAAACAGATGATGCCCAGGGGGGGGAGAAACAGCGTCGGCGTGACGGGGCCGGAGTC